TTCTTGATTCAGTCAATAAAATAAATTGACCCAGTGATTAATTGTTTTGGAACACCCCGTTTAAGCAAAACTAAAAAAATATTAATGCAGTGATAAATCACAAGTAAAAACTCATCCTATTTTGCACATTTCAGATAGGATTTATTCAGCAAAATTTTCAGGTGACGTCATCAATTTTTTAGGGAGAATGAACAAATACATTTTAATCAAAAAATTACTATGCTTATAAGATTAAAGCATCTCCAAGATTTCAGAACATTCGGTTTTGCAGTTCCTGATTAAATCAATAAAATTAATTCACCTATTCATTAATTTTTTTGAGTCACCCTATATAAGCAAATCTAAAAAATATGAATGGACTAACAAATCACAAGTATAGACTTATCCTATTTTGGACATTTTAGATAGGATTCATTTGGCAAATTTTGGGCTGACGTCATCAATTTTTTGGAGAGGATAATAATAATTGAATAAAAATTTATTATGCTTATCATATGTTTAAAACATCTGCAAGTTTTCAAAGTATTCGGTTTTACAGATTAAAAATTAAATTGTAGGTGAAACGAAGTTCACCGGGTCAGCTAGTCTATCTAATAAAAATCCGGGACGGCAGACAGACGGACAGACAGACGGAAACGGGAGACCTATTTCTTCGTCCTCTAGGGGTCATGATAGGTCGAGAAAATACAAAAGTAGAGAGTCGGCCGACGGACTCGATTACAATACTTTTTTTGCTTATACGCTCGGGAAGTAAAAAAGTAGCAAAACAGTTTTTGAATAGGTATTTCACAAAATTGTTAATGCTCTTTTTAAAGAAAAATTCTATAATCTCCGAAAGTCATCATATATTTTTACCAAACAAGTCAACAGAAAGAGAAATTCTCAGATCCATTATTCACAATACAAGTAGACAATAAGAGATTTACTCCTGGAGTTTACGTTCATTTAACAAAAGCCTTTGACACCATTAGTCATACTATTCCATTCAAGAAACGAGAATAATATGGACTGCGTGTAGTTGTAAACAAATTTTAGTGTCCTATTTGTAAGAAAGATATCATATAGTACTCTTTAAAGATGACTTTGCATGTAACTGTGCCTGCTGCCCACTTTATTTGTGCCTAGAAATATTCAATAATGAATTTGTCTCGTCACACATCAAACTTCTTCTTCATGTACCATGCCCTTTCAGAACGTTGGTCACCATCACAGCGATTTTGATCTTGTTGACAGCTATTCTGAAGAGTCTGTTCGTATCTACACCGTACCAGTCCCTCAAATTCTTCAACCATGATGTTTTTCGCCTGCCTGGACCTCGTTTGCCTGATATTTTGCCTTGCATGATGTTTTGTAGGAATCTGTACTTTTCTCCTCTCATATCGTGCCCGAAGTATTGGAGCTTTCTGCTTTTGACTGTGCATAGAATCTCGGTGCTCTTACTCAGGCGCTCCAGAACTTCCGCATTGCGGACCGTGTCCACCCAAGAGATCTTCAATATTCTTCTGTAGCACCACATCTCAAACTCTGTTGTTCAGAGTCCAAGCCTCGACACCGTATAGCAGTACAGAAAACACATAGCATCGCAGCAACTGGATTCTTAAGGATATTCTAAGATCTCTACTGCATAGAACTCTGATTTAATTTCTTCAAGGCAAAACGGGCCTGCTCTATTCGACAACTAATTTCGGAGTGACTGTCAGCATTGTTATTTATTTGGCACCCCAGATAACGGATATTATTAACTTGTTTTAGTTTTATGTTTCCAACTCTAATATTTGCTCTAAGATTTGTTTGCTTGCTAATGACCATTACATGAGTTTTTGTGACATTTAAATCAAGTCCAGTTTCCTCACATTTTGCTACTACGCAGTCTAGCATACTTTGAAGATCTTCTCTGCTGGAGGCTATAAGTACTGTATCATCCCCCCGGAGATCCGAATGGGGGAATTACTCCGGAATTTAATTTAGTATTGATAGCCATGTGATTTTACTAGGGAATCCCATATGGGCTTTAATACAGTGGTTTCCCGTTGCCTTCTGTTTATTATGCCGTTGACTAATTAACAGCTCATCCGCCTTTGAGGCCGCTTTCACAACCTCAGGACAAAAGAGTGCCCTCAACTTCTGCCAGCTCGTCCACTCGAAACTGTTGGCCGTGCAGAAGGGAGCTGTTTATACCGACAGCTGCTCGGTCGCCATTGCCTCTTTAGTATGAACAGGGTATACCACGTGAAAGTGAGGCTGACATTTGAGTAGGAGAGGCTATATATTCCGCATCCATACCCCATTATACCCCACACATCAAACGCTAAATTTAACATTAGAAATATTTAAAGGCGAGTTTAAACGGGTAATGAAATAATAACGTAATTTTATTGATGATACATTTGCAGAATTGTTTTTTTACCCAAAATATTACTACATATTTATTACTTTGCTCTTTTCAATATTTTGATTATTTAAAATACAAAATACACTACTGTTGCATTGTATTTAAATTTAAAATTGACTGCAAACCAATCTTTGAAGACAGATTTGTCCTAAAAAGTTGTAATTTGATGAATCGACACTGGTTAAAAAGATTTCAAAGAAACTTTTTTTTAGTAACTTAAGGTTTAAAAGCGCTTTGTAAATTGATAACGAGAATTTGTTTTGAAAGTTTGTCGTGTGTGATCTGCTTTAAAAAAGAAAAATTAAAATTTTACATTTACCGCTCATTCATTCAATTCTTTCATATATATAATGTTACACTTAGAGAATACATCTGCCCTTGATAATAATATCACCTTTGCCCTTTCCTAATAATGAGTAGTGGGCAGTACGAATTCTACCTTTTCGCATGTTACAATCAATATCTATTTTTAACGCTACCCGTCTAATAATCCAACGAAGTTTTATGTTCAAGAAACATACGTTTCACAGGTGAATATATAGTTGCAGTGTGAATTCCCTATTATGATATAAATACAAAATGGGCTATTATACATGTACCTACCTATTTAAGTTGAATAAGGGCACACTGGTCTACCATTTCATTTCTCAGCATCACTAAACCTGCCCTTCTCAGTCACCAATCAAAAGAAAAATTACCGTCACAATGTAGTGAAGATATATGCGAAAAATGCTATTGTTTTCATATAATGATAATAAAATCTACCTCGACCATGCATTCAACTAACAACGTAGGAGTTTGCTATAAGTTAAGAAAATATTTACTTGAGGGAATATAGAGAAGTTACAGGCATACGTGGTCCGTGATATGTTACGGAACAAAGGTCGAGAACTGAAATGTGAGTATATATATATTGAAGCGTTTATACTTAGTTTTGCTTAAAAGGGAGAAAATGAGAGTGGAAACGGGTAAAAGGGCGGTTGGATTTGAAGAGAAGTTAGTGAGAGAGGTGATTGTAAAATATTGCAAGAATGTTGGAAAGAAATAAGAAAGGAAGAGAGAAAACATGTTTGGAACGAAACAGAGAAGTATTATGAAGGAAAGGATATGCATGTGAAGAAATAGAGAGAATGAGAGAAATGGGAAGAAGTATGAAAGAAGGACTGAGTGTAAGAGATATGGATATAGATAAGCAAGAACCCAGATCGAAAATATCGGAGTCTAGATATAATGCAGAGCCTAGAAAAATAGTAAAGGATGAAGTACCAAAGTACACACACAGAGAGAGAGAGTATAAAGGAGAAAAGAATGATGACGAGATTTAGGTGTGCAAATGAAGAGAAAGAGAATAATTTTTGGATAGATGAAGCTGACAGAAGGTGTAGGATATGTTGGAGAGAGGGAGAAACAATAGAGCATATAGTGGAAGGAAGGGAAGAAGTTCTAAACGAGGATGGAAGAGGACTGGATTGGATGAAAGAAGTACGAAAAATAAGGGAACTAAGGCAAGGGGTGGGCAAGCAGAAAGAACAGAACAATTATTATTATATAAAACTCGAATATTTAATTATTTATTTTATTTATTTTATTGATATTGTGAAGGTTAAGTTAATTTGTACCTCTACTGGGAATCGTATTAAGCCTGAAAGGCAAATAACAAATTAATACTACTACTTAGTTTTGCTTTATAACTTTTGCCAGAATTGTAGAATTGGATCTTCCTTCTATATATTATTACACTGGCTGGGTGTCATCACATGATTTATGAGATTCTATATAAATATGCAGACAGATATGGGTTTTAAATTATACCAAAAACGCAAAACAGAATACTTTGAAGTCTTAGAGATAGTTTAAAGTTATAATTTGTGATTTATCAATTATCATTCAATTCAGATTTTTTAGATTTGTTTACACAGGTTGACCCACAAAAATTAATAAATAAATCAATTTATGTTATTGATTAAATCAGGAAATACGACGAGCGTTTACTTGTGATTTATCATTGTATTTATATTTTTTAGATTTGCTTATACAGGTGGTTCAAAAAAATTAATGAATGAGTCCGCTTATTTTATTGATAACATCAGAAACGGCTCACACCATTTTCCCACAAAATTTGGGAATACAATCCTGTTATTATTAGTATTACACTGCATGCGCCGATCCAAGTTGATAATATGTAGTGTCCTTTGTAAAATGTTATTGACTTAATAAAAAAAAAAATTCTCAAGACAAAAATTCATTTGGAACATACCCGTAACACGCTTCTTTACATTTAGTTTAGCATTACATACACATGTTTATTTCAATTTATAGGGATTCTTATAAAAATAAAATTCGCAAATTCAAATTTCATAATTTTTCGCAAATGCTGGATATGATTCATTGTACTTCATGGACGAGGGAAGTTCTGTCAACGCATTCTTAGACAAAATTTTTGCTTTGTTTTAGTTAAACTTCAGTCGGGTGTGTTTGGTACAATAATTCGCAAGAAACACGAACGCATTACTCACACATAATCAATACCTATCACGTCCTAAATCTAACAAAGTGTAGAAGATTTTAGTGTAAGAACTACACTATAACAGATCGCACACAAAACGTAACCTTCAGTAAAATAAATTATATCATTGTTACGTGAATAAAATCTCTTCAGGTTTACACATAACCAAATACGGCGCCAGTGGCCTTGTCCATCCGTTCCACTAGCACGAAACTAGTTAGTTCCACATGTTATAAATTCACAATCGGAAGTGAATTTTGTGTTTCGGAAACAATGGCACACGAAAATAACGAACAAACGGATGATGAAATGTCAAACATACCTACAACGAAACAAAGAGGATTTTGGCACAATGTGAGAAAGTATTTAAGAGAATATACTGAAGTAACAGGCGTCCACGGACTTCGTTACGTCACCGAAAAACGATCAAGAACGGAAAAGTGCGTGAGTTCCTTACATCATTTTTGTTTACTTTATTCGCGCATTTAAGGGTTGTTTGGGCTTTGCTTCTAATACTTTCTTTAGGTGGTTGTATCTACATGATTAGTGAAATTATGTATAAGTATGAGAATACTCCAGTGGTTGTCAGTTTTGCTACTGAAGATACGCCATTGTATCAGATCCCGTTTCCTGCTATTACTATTTGTCCGGAGGCAAAACATAATAAACAAGTGTTCGGCTACAGGGATATCTACCGTCAGATACAGAAACAGGAAAAAGTAGATGAAACTAAGTGAGTTGTTTGGAAATTACAGGTTAAAAATCTCTTTCGCAGTTAGCTGTGATCTCAGCGTAACCTTGATTTATTTTTATTTTAAAATAATCTGTGGTTTACTGGAAATTATTTGGTCTTTCCAAATACAACTGTGAGAGAGTTTTTAACCTTCAAACTACCGGGTGGGAAAAATTACACATCGTTTCGGGTGGGGTCTGTTTGGACCCCATGGCCTTATTTAGCCAAAATTATAGAATTAATAAAAAAATTTTGGCGAATCCAAATTGTTTATTAATTTTAAACACAACCAAGTTAAAAAAATTACATAACAATATTAAATAAGCATTTTTCGTTACAGTTTTTTGTTCCAGCATTCCTGACATTCAACGGTATGAGCAGAATGATCTCCTCAAACAAATCTTTTGCAGGAAATGCAAAAATTTCTTGATTTCTGTCCCTGCTACTTATATAGACGAAACAGCGTCCGGGGGATTGTACTGATATCGATTTTGATAACGTGCCATTGATAAAACAAAATTTAATTTTTTACAGTGATTACATTGTCACACTGACACCGATACTGACACCTGCAAGTCTGTATCAAAACTGCAACGCCGCCTATAAACTAGTAAAGAATAAAACAATGGTTTTTGTAAGACTAAATTCTCAGAATAAGACCTGTAGGTGCAACAAAATCTCCAAAATATAGACAAAAAAATGGCAACATAAAGAACCAGGTGGGGTCCATGCGGACCCCAAGAGACTAATTTTTTTTTTTGTAACAAACTGTTACACCTATACAACTGATATTTTTTGAATGCATAGCAAAAGGCCTTAATCGAAGCTACTAAAAATACCACTATTGTTAAACCAGAAATAACGGGAAAAAATAGGAAAATGTATCAATGGGGTCCATTTGGACCCCACCCGGTAGTTTGAAGGTTATAAAAATCTGTTAATTTACTAAATATGTATTACTTATTAATCTTGTTTGCAGCTTTACAAAATTTTCACATTTGCACCTTCTGTGTCAAGACATTGATATTATTGCAACAATTGCCAACAAAACGGTGGGTCCGGACTTTTTTGAAACCCTAGACGAAGTAAGTCAGAATTATGATACGAGTAATAGTTATTATGTTATTAACACAATGAGTGCGGTTGGTTGTATGCTAGACACGAGGTTTTAATTTTGAAGCACAATGTGAAGCGGAGTGCATTAATAAAACCGAGCCCTCGAAAGTGCCTACACACAAGTATTGCATTAAATTTTTTGCCCAAAGTACGTATTTTTACTTTGTACTAATTTTATAACTTCGAGCCTTGCTCGCAATAATTTCATTATACTTTGGTATCGAGTAAGCTGTTTTAAACAATTATGTAGCTGGCGTTGCCCGTTGCGTCAAATGGAAGAGAAACGTCAAAATAATTGTCACTGTCATTCTGAAAATGCCTATAATGTAAATATTCTTTATTTATTATGTATGTTCTGTTCAACAAAATCTTACGTAACCAACATTTCTGCAAATGTCATTTATTGTTTGTAGAACAATTTATTTTTTAAGGGCCACTGGAAACTATATTCCTAATAAATTTGATTTTTGTACTCGTTTATGAATTATGTTTTAAATTAACAAGAAACCATTTTTTATTTCTCTTTTATTGAAAGGTCATACCTATAAAATTGAACATTCTTAAATAATATGCGTACTACTTAAATATGTGAAATCATGAAAACCATACACAGAACAAAAAATGATTTTTACGTTGTTATTAACACGCTTAAATTTTTATGTAACAAAATATGTAAACAAATCTACGAACTCGATTTTAACGTACCTACTTCTAATTATCGCATCGATAGAAACTTTGCCAAGGGTATGTAATTTGGACGACACTACAATACTTTAGTACCCCCGAGCAGTAAGGGTCCACGCCACTCCCTAAATTTTGCCATATTACAAAATTTGAGCGCAATCGTTCCCTTTACAGTAGTGACAAAAGTCGTGTGTTACATTTATCATTAAATTATCCTCTACTCGTGCGAAGAAAAATGAATATAAACAAAACAAAAAACTCAAACGATTGGAGACAGCAATACAGAGAAAAACATGTTTTTCAGTTTTTTTAATTCCCGAACATAAGCTAAGAAAGTATAGTAATTGAGTCCATAGGACGAATCGCTACTTTTATGTTTTCTGGACGTTTCATGACCTCTACAGAACGAAGAACTAAAACTAGTCTCCCGTTTCCGTCTCTCTGTCTGTCTGGTGTCTATTCATTTTTATAAGGCACATAATTTCCTAAATTGCTGGACCGATTGTTGTCAAATTTTGTATGTATATTAGAAATATCATGTAGAAGCTAACCAACAATTTGATGACGTCATCTCAACGAATTGTATTTTAAAATGATTTGAATGTTATACAAAAATGTACTTGCAATGTACGAATCCACTTTTAATTTTTGTGCTAAACGTTCAAATTTTTGTAAAAACATTTGCAAAGTATAATAATGTTGTACTACCAACACGGGATACAAGACTTCGTAGTATATAGCGAACTTTTCCTTTTTTTTTTCTTGCATTGTAATGCGCTGTGACTAGTGTTCTTTTGTGCTATGGCTAGTATTATCCATATTAATGATGTCATCACAATTTTTTTATTGGTCAAATTAAGAACGAGTCACCACATTTTGTCGAAAATTCTACACCTGAAAGTATAAATGCGAAACAGATGGAAGTTCTGTGTACTTTTATTTGAAGACGAAACTTTTGACGTAAAATAAATTACTATACAATTAAACATTGCGGTAAATTAGAGTGGAAGTTGTTGTGATACGATAACTATTAATAAACTCACGTTAATTAATTTTTAACTTTTTTTAAATTTTAGATAAAAATTGACCCAGGTGAAATGTTTATCGATTGTTCATATAACGACGAAGATATTGAGTGTGAAGATTTTTTTACACCTATAATAATAGATGAAGGAATATGTTATTCGTTTAATATTTTAGGACGAGAAGAAGTATTTAAGGATCATGTGTAAGTTGCATATATATATTTCAAAATTTATTGTAACGACTACATATTTGTAGTTATAATTATGCACAATATTACCACGTTCCTAATAAATCTGCAGATTATTTTAATATAGAAACCGGGTATAAAGAGAACGCTAATATGAATACGTATCCTAGAAGAGCAATGATGTCTGGCGCCGACAATGCATTGTTGATATTTTTTAACATTGATACAGACTATATTGACCCCATATGTAATGGCATTTTTAAGGGATTTCGGGTAAGTATCACAACAGTATTTTTAAAAAATTTCGTTTTCTTTGATTCAAGCAGAATTTATTTTTGTTGAAAAAGGCAGTGTACCACAATTATTTTTTTCTCCTCACTTCCACAAGTATTTGAATTACCATATCTGTCGCTGAAACTGTCAAAGAAACTGACATAACTAACTGTTTGCTAACTTTTACTTATTTAAATTTAAAAGGGCGAAATAGAAAAAATAGTGTAAGACACACGTATTAAAATGTTTCGCGCATACTCGTATTACAATGAGATTCAATATGACATATGACACTAGTATTTTAATATAGTATTGCTTCATCGTATTACAGAAAGGAATATTTTGCCTATTTTTAAAACTATTCCCAATCACCTCTATGTGAAATTGAAAGTTAAATTTTAGTAATTGTTAGATCACAGTGTCACTTGTAATATTAGTATGTATCTATTGAACGTCACATTGAAATCAATACTTAATAATTTTTATTGCTGTTTTTTTTCACTCTGTATTTGTTTGTAGGTTCTAATTCATAACCCTTGGGATGTACCTCGCCTCACAAAACATTTCTTTCGTGTACCTTTCAGTAAAGTTGTTGTAGCGGCTATGGAACCTGAAATTATTGTTACTTCTGACACTGTCAGAAAATTTAAACCTGAAAAAAGAAAGTGTTTCATGCACGATGAACGTCCCTTGCAATACTTCAAATTTTATAGTCAGCCTAATTGTTTACTTGAATGTCAAACGAATTATACGTTGAAAAAATGTGGTTGTGTTCAATATTTTATGCCAAGTAAGTACATTACATATATTTTACGAAAAATCTTTGTATCGTTTTCAACAACAGGAAATAACAAAACGGCAATATGTGGCAACGGTTTATCCAAATGTGTAGAACAGGCTGAAAGTAAGAATGTGTTTAAAATATTTTTAAATATTTTCATTCTATTAGTTATTAGGTGAATTAAAAGAGAAAGAACTTGAATCCAGATTAGGAGGAAAACGCTTTTGCGACTGCAGACCTGCTTGCACAAATATGAAATTTAGTGTGGAAACTTCACATAGTGATTTTTATTTTAAGGAGTATTTTGAAACACATACACAGAAGATGAATGAAAAAAATGGGTATGAACACTTTTTTATTTTGTTGCATGGAAATAGTATATATAATAGTATATGTATAACCAAGGTTGTGAAGACAATCATTCTGGACCTAGCGCAAATTAGAACCCGAAACACGTATCGTCGAATACAATAAGTTTAAATTTTTTGACGGAAAATGATTTTGTTTTAATTTTTAATCAAACCTAACCTATATCTTCAAGACAAAGAATACCGTCTATCTACACTAAACTTGTTGCTGAATTAATTCTGTCTTCCACCCTCTACGACTACCACGCGTATACTCAAGTAATGTTAATTGTATACATTTATTCATTTTAAGAAAAAATTACATCTCCTTTTTTAATTTTGGTAGTAAAGTTGAACTTCATTACCTCGAAACAAGTCGACAATTGCATGCTTCATGGCTACTAGTGAAAAAAAACGAATTGATTTTAGCACATATTGGTCAGTTCTGCAGATATATTTCAAAGAAGAGCAGTTTAAAACAATGGAAAGAAATGAATTATATGGTATTTCTGACTTAATATCCAATTTCGGAGGCCTCTTAGGATTATTTACAGGATTTTCGTTGATTTCGCTAGTTGAAATTATATACTTCTGTTCTTTACGTATTTTTTGCAATGAAAGAATGTATGGAATTTGGTCAGGTCCTTAAATTAAAGGACCGAATAACACTCACTGTATAATATGAAGCAATCGTCTAGGAAATCATTTATTTTACATCACTCATTTCCCACATTTTGTAATTAAATTTTTAACTTGAATGATAGTGCCTTCATGTATACTTTTTCTAAATATGTAAGTATTGTTCAAAAACACTTTACCTCATATTTTATAACAGTTTAGTCATAGAAAATAAATATTTATGTGTTTATTGTTTGTAAGAATTTAATTAAGAAACAGTGTTAGTTTTAGAAAATATGTGTTTGTATTATAAATTAAAGAAATGCTATATAAGTGTTTTATTTTTCAGTAGCAGATTTTATATAAGTAAAACTAACTATAAGATGAATCCAAACTGGATGTTCTTTAGTCTAAAACATCGTATTTTCATCATATTATTTATACACAGATTACATTACTAGCACTTGTGAGAGTTTACCTCACTTGTTAATCAGGTTGAATTTTTGTCTCGTAAAAACAGTTTCATAAACAATCCCAAAACCAACTAGCATAAGATAAAATAAATATCAAAAATAGAGTCAATAATGTGCTTATTTAAAATACCCACCAAAGTGAAATGTAGTCAGTTATTAAGGGATTATTTCAAAAGCTGCTAGAGTAATTACAGTTAATATTTGTTTTGTAATTAGAGGTAATTTTTGGGACTATGGAGATCTCTGCGTTGAAGATCATTCCTATTGCTGCTTACACAAGACGCAATAAATCAAGTTTTCCAACATTCTAAAGCTGATGTAGAAATGAAACTATCAGATATGTCTTACAAAAAGTGTGACATTATTTTATTATAAGTAAAACATTACTTTTTGAGTAATAATAAACAGAATATTTTCTTAGTTTTAGTACGAAATAACGTCCCAAAATGTCCCAAAATTCGTATCATTCCCATGAATGGCATGGTACTTGTTACGCACTGGGAGATAATTCGCAAAAAGCATTGCATAAGCTTTAATCGTCTAAAAACTATAAGGCGATTAAGTTGACCAACAGACAGTGTTGGGTAGTATCTAGATACTTGTATCTAAATAAAATATCTAGATACATTTTTGGGTATCTAGTATCTAGTATCTAGATAAAATCGAATTTAACCACAAAATATCTGTATCTAGATACAAAATTAATGGCGCAGATACAGATACATTTTTTTATTTCACTTTTTTTCAGTAGGTATTAGTTGACTTATACTAGTAGTAATTTTTGATACTTCATGTTGGTGATAGTGGACACATAAACAAAAATAGAGGTAATAGGTCCACTAATAGTGTTTTGTCACGGAAATTTTCATATTTTAAATACCATCATTTCCTACATTGTAGCCTTCAGTACTTATACATCTTTAAATATGATCCTGAGGGGTAATACATCTAAGCCATGGTAAGATGGTATTTTAAAAATCATAAACCACAATTCACTATTCACTGCGTTTTACGCTTGTCGGGGCAATGCATTTTATCTGTGTACCTGAGCAACCCGAGTGCGGTGGGCCCGCTGGTTGTATTTGTGTTATTAAATAAGAGTAATTTTAATAGTAAAAATATTTGTTTAAGGTATGTTATTATTTTTAGAAAATAATAATTGAGTGTTACATAATGATTAATTTTTTCAATTAGCACAAATTAGTTCTGTGATCGACTAATCGAATGTTCAATACATACATTTTTCTCGCATAAATCGCATATTTGTTACTGTTTCATACCTTTATTTTTCAGACAAATGTAGCATCTTTTCCTGTTGCCACATGTGTAATTTCTTCACTTTTTCATTGTTGGACCTAACGCGAGATGGGCTTGGCAGGTCCGCTTTGTCCTAGAATGTACCGATTATGTTTAAGTGTAAATCTTGGGCAATAAAAGTAATATTTTTACAACCCTCGGTAGAATAATTTATCGTGATATATTCTCAGAAATCGTGAAACGAGATTAAAATAAAATGAGTTTCAACAAAAATCTGAAAATTTAAAGTTGTACTCTGGTGATTCCGGCCTGCCAGGCAGCCTTTGATACTCTAAGGGGCTTAAATACCCTTCTAAGAAATGGTCCTTATTTTGCCTTAAACGGAACCAACAATTCTTCCTAAAATGTATATACCTGCCGCACCGGGATAGACGATTACCGGACATGGTCATAAAAACATCGTAAGAATAATAATTTATGATAGGTTGCCGACAACAGACCTTCAGCACAGAACAATCATTTCCCGTATTCTTTTGAAATATTAACTTTAATGCTGGAGATAATTATTAGATATACTCAAACACAATTTGGACACTGTAGTATGGGAATAAAAACAAAAAAAAATATTCTTTTTAAGCCTACGTAATAAATATTGCATAATTTGCGACACATCAAACAGCGAAGCGATGGCCTATTTGCAGGAAAAAAGAAAAGATTTTTCAGTCTTGAATAACTATGCTACAGTAAAATGTTTATTTTTTAAATTTAATACCATAATCCCTTCTTCTGCACCTGTGGAACGGGTGTTTAGTAGCGGGAACCAAATTCTGATACCAAGAAGAAATAATTTAGGTGACAATATGTTCGAAATGTTATTAATTTTAAAAAATTCATTAAACAATACATAAAAAAATAGATAAACATGTTTTCAGTTATTTTATTCGCCAAAGCTTCAAAAAGTATCTGTTTTCTTGTATCTGTATCTAGATATTGTCACGGAACTGCTAGTTGCCCTAGTTATGTAAAGATTGCCTCATGCCATGCTTGTGAGATGTCAGCAAAAACCTCTTTTTGCTGGCATTACGGAAGCTTAGGTGGGGTCAGTGCGGACTGACGAAAGGGGCAGTCGGTACTAACTAGGGACAGGGGAAGGAAAAAGTGAGAGAAGTGAAGTGACGCACCATACCCCCTAAGGATGGAATTTGTAATGTAAGTTGAAATATATTTAGTTTATTTAATGTATTTGGGATTTTTATTCTTAACGTCGGATCGGGTAATTATCCTTAGCTCTACCAATCTCTCCCCCGACCCGGTCGTGACATATGGTGGAGGCGCCCAAAATTTCGCGCATATAGTGTTTTTTAAATCTTAAGAAAAAACAAAATCTTATTTTATGAATAATAAAAACCCCGCGGATCCAAAAACCCGTCAGCAATACAAAATCCGTATAGAAAAAGAGTACGGTTCGTTTCAACCAAAAAGCAGAAGTTCTGATATTCACGGAGTCGTTAAATTAGGGGGTTGCGGTTGTGACACTTCAGAAACAGATCCGGAACCACTTGTGCTTAGTCCAATCCCCATCGAATTACCAGAAACCAACCTAAAGCAGTTAACATTGTCCGCACCAACTTCACAAAATTCTGAAACAGTAGACCAAACGTTCGATAAAATACCAGGAACAATCCCCAACAAATCGCCTCACTTCACTGAGCAAAACATCAGAGAAACAAACGACCCATCTAACGAAAAAATGGCCAACGTTACAATCACCGAGGCATTCACAAGCCAAAAACATCCATCGATCCCGAGCTTCATTAGTCCAGAAATTTTTGATCCAAAACGTGACGACCCACAGCGGTTTATCCAGAATTATGAGCGGGCAGCAGTGGCCAACGCGTGGAATGACAACTTGAAGATTTCATATTTCGGCTCATTTTTGTCAGGAATAGCGAACAGATGGTACGAAAATTTTGTTACGAATAATGCTACAAAAACCTGGACAGATGTGAAGAAAGAATTCCTAAAAGAATACAGAATGTCGGACTATTCGGAAGACAAGGAAAGAAAATTTGAAAACCGCAGACAGACCCGAGAAGAGTCAGTAAGAGAATACTTTTTTGATTTATCCTTCCTAGCGTATGAACTGGACCCATTAATGGAGGACGAAAAATTTATCAAACAATTCGAGAGAGGCATGCAAGATAAATATTTTAGCAACTACAAGATTCTAAAACCAGATGACGTTACCGTACCAGAACTTAAATCAATTATTGCGAAACTTGACGTTATAGAACAGCGAACAAAAGAAAGCCAAGGGTACTTTCATGACCGACAGGAAGTTGAAGAAGCGAATAAGTATACGAAATTTACCACAAACTCTAGGAAATTTGATAGTAGGCCACACTTAAATGGAGGCAATTTCAAGAAAAATGTACCAAACACCCGCAGCTCTAACGGACGACCAAAGTGCTACCATTGCGGAAGAATTGGACATTTTGCAGGCGCATGTTGGCACAATACAAGTGGCAACAATTACAAACAGGATCACCACCCAAACGCCAAGGGACGACGAAACTAAACCTCCCAGTCGTCCTTACGCAAAAAGGGAGAAGCAGCGGCACTTCAACCCTCAACAAACCCCCGCGTCTGCTAACCCTAAATGTACAAGTTAACAAACAACATCTTACCGCAATTGTAGATACAGGCGCCGCAACAAATGTTGTGGTCAGCAAAATAATACCGGAAAACGAAATTCGCAAGCAGCAGCAAATGTCTTTTTTATTAGCGGCGGGCAACGCGAAAGTTCCTATCTTAGGTACAACCTCCCTGACTTTAAGGGTGATGAATCATACAAAAAACATTTCAGCATACGTCGTGGAGAATTTACCCTATCCAATTATCTTAGGCATGGAATTTTTATGCAACGAAAAATCTATCATTAATTTACAAGATAACACGATTATGCTGACAGGTAAAGTTTTCGAACTGAATAAATCGTTTCATGTTTCACAACATACAAGCTATACGCAACGTAGGTCAGTTAAGGGGTACAACAACACCTTAGTTGACATTCCTAAAATGACTTATTATAAACAATGCGTTGATGACATATCGCAAACATTACGTGCAATCATAAAACGGAATAATAACACGGAAATGACACAAATTCGACAGAAAGAAACTATGACACAAGTCAACACTATACATGATTCACTTCGCGACCACAAATTACTGACACGGCAAGACCTAGATCTTCAAGAACAAGACACATACGAAACCTTCGCAAAAGCGAATTTTGACATTTTTGACACCATCACTAGTTGCAACATCTCCACCATGAAAGTCCAAAGAAACAGTTACCCTTGTGTCACATGGTTGTTCAATGAACAAAATAAATTAAACATACGCAAAATA